CTAATTCGTGCCTTTTCTACGGCAATATTAAATAGGAGGCAAGCCAGAGCATCTCCTTGTCTGAGTCCATCCTTTATCTCAAAGGATCTAGAACTCTCTCCCTGTATTCTAACAGTGGCTTCTAAGTTAGACATTGTCATTCTCGTTAGTCGGATAAGTTTCTCTGGTATACCAAACTCATGCATTGATTGGTATAGCACTGTTCTCTTGACACTGTCGTATGCGGCCTTGAAGTCGACGAATAGGTGATGGGTTTCAATATTGAATTCTAATGTTTTCTCGAGAACCTGTCTTATTGAATGAATCTGGTCAATCGTTGATTTTTCTGGAGTGAATCCAACTTGATATTTACCAACTATGCCCACTGTGTAAACTTGCAACCTTTCGTAGAGAATATTTGCTAGTGTTTTGTAAGCAGTTGTTAACAGGGTTATACCTCTATAGTTGTCACACTGGAGCTGGTCACCTTTTTTATGTAACGGGCATATCACGCCTTGAGACCATTCACAAGGCATGGTCTCATTATGCCAATTATGCCAATTATAATACACTCGCGATCATAAAATCCGGGTCACCTTGAAAATAACCGATATTTTATTTCTAACGAGCTTTATCGTAAATAATAATAACAAAAATACAAACTAATGCATGTTTTTAAGAACTGTTGTCAGCTTAGTGGTTTCCTTTGTAACAAAAAATGCCAATAGTGCCGATTTTGTAGAAAAATGCACATTTTCCAAAATTAATGGTACCTGTAACTGCTGTTTGTTTTAAATGTCTCATTACTGCTTCGATTTTCTGTGCAAACGCAACGAACAAACGTTGCAACGATTTTCACAAGTTTACATTGCTCCAAAAATGCCATTTGGTAGAGGCTCGGTCATGGCCGGTCATTGGGGAGGAAGAACATGTTATGCCCGCTCACCATGGCAGGGCTTGGAGAAGACGCCGTTTTTATGCAGGAAAACGCGCGACCGCACGCTGCCCAGATCAGTATGCAATACTGGGACGAGATTGGAATTACGAAGTTACTCTGTCGAGCTAGGTTTCCGGACCTGAATAACATCGAACATCTCTGGGACGATTTGAACGGGAAGGCAATATGCGATATTAGTCATTGAAATTTTACTGATATATAACCACGTTCTGTATTTTCCATTTTTTTTTCGTATGTTTGTTTTAACAACAATTTGGTTTTTTTTGCTTCTTCAATAAAAAAAAAATAAAAAACGGAGGCAAAAATATTAAAAAAGCTTTAAATTTTCAAGGTGACCCGGATTTTATGATCGCAATTGTACTAATAAATTATAAATAAATTATAATAAATAACTTGAAAGTAATCTAGAGTTGTTATCAACAGGTCCTCGAAGACACTTCGTCTCAGGACCATTTTACCTATGTAGGGTCATACGTCGCCATGTTACCAATTCCAACGGTAACTTAAACATAATCATAATTTGTAACCACATATAATGTAAAGCAAATGTAAATTTATATCATTTAAAGGGTTTGGACCCATATATTTTGGTGGCTCATAGCATGTATACCTCGTTTGCACTGATGATGGATTTAATAATCCGAAAACATTTTGCAATATCTTTGTGATAGCCCGTTTGGGCATTTTATTATATACCTTTTATAAAGGATTTGAAATAAATTTTTTGTGATATATGGTATACAGCCAGCTACAGGAACTTAGTTTCCTAGTGGATTTTTAATCTAAAGTATTTGACAGTAACCCAAACGTTGTACACATTCTTGTAGAACCTTGTTTATGCTTTCTTGAGAAATATTGTTTATTTCTTTACGAATTCTTGCTTTTAAGTCTCCAATATTTGCAGGTTTCGTTTTATAAACCACATTCTTTAAATGACCACACATAAAATAATTTAAAGGATTGAGGTCTGGCGACCTCGCTGGCCATTCAATATGTCCACGTCTTCCAACCCACCTGTTCGGAAAAATTTCGTTTAGGTACCTTCGAACATCTAAAGCATAATGCGAAGGTGCACCATCCTGTTAAAACCATAAACCTTTATCAAAACCTCGAAGATTAATTGTACTGGGTAATAAATTAACTAAAGTATGATCTTGCATCCAGTTGGAGTTTTCTTTTGCCCAGTATCTACAATTCTGATGATTGACCTCGCCATGAGGTCAATCGTCAGAATTTTTGGCCATGAGGCCAATCGTTTAATTTGAATGTAGCCTCATGAAAACAAATAATATTTTGATCCAAGAGAGGGTTTCGGTGGCTGTTATCCATCATTATTTCGCAAAATGGTATTTTTTATTTGGATCATCCCCGTTTAATTCCTGTACAAGTGTGCATCTAAAGGGGTGCTATTTTTTAAGTTTTATTACTTTGTGTACCGTTGTTTTGCAAACATCGAGATCATACTAACCTTATGAACAGAATTGTGCGCATTCAAAAGCAAGTAGAACATCTAATGTTGCAACATAATTTATAGAGGGACGGCCTGATTTGCGTGCATTTTCAACCGTACCAGTTTCTCGAAATTTCTTTTCAATCTTACTTACCGTTGACTGCGTTATGGGTATATCTGGATATTCATCATTAAATAAATTACACACTTCCATCTTCGGATTTGTCGATTCAGATGTCGATGTCGTCGATGTCGGAGTTCGCGATTTGTCTCCATACCCAATTATCATGAGTGTTTCAATTATTTGCTTTACACTCAAATCCATTTCTACTTCAAATTAATTCTTAGCAATAATACAGAACATTCACGTATTAATACAATTATTGTACTACTTAATTGTTATTGAACGTTACTAAAAACAATTACATTTTACTAAAACGTAAACGTAATAAAGTGAAAATTGAGCGGTTTGATTGGACACCACTCAATCCAGATATCAATCATATCGAACATGTCTGGGATCAGTTGGTCCGAAGTATTCGAAGGCATACACCAGCTCCAAGAACTGCCCAGGGGCTACGAGAGTTGTTATTGCAAGAATAGGATACCATCGACCAGAATGTGATTCGTGATTTAAATGAAAGATGCCTTGTCGGCTACAATCTGTCATTAATGCAAGAGGGGGAAATATACGCTATTGATAAAGAATTTTTTTCCAATAATGTCTAGTTTTATTAATTTTTTTTGTCAATTTCTTAACAATAAGTTCCACTTTTTTTAACTGTAAACTTGTTAAGGTTATTAAATAAAGCTCAAAGTCCCATATATTGCTATTAATTTAATACTGATTATTAAAATTAGTTTACAAAATACAGTACCAATGGTTTACAAGCTTAAATAGAAATTTACAACGCTACAAAAGCTTTCTTCGCGTAAAGGAAAAACCAGAATAATTCGATTATTTTTAGATTAATCTAATAAGTTTAATTAAATATTGTTTTGATTCAAGTAAGTTTAAAACAAATATGCCACCAATTCCACACTGCGATGAAGCCCAAACAGCACAGATTGTAATGAGACAGGCAATTTTGTACGAAGATCAGTCACGGACTCCCAAGGTGCACAGCCGCAATTGATGACCATTTTTTGAGTCATTGGCATTGATGTACTTGTAGTACATTGAGCTACTAAATGTCAGACAAATTGATGTGAGTTTAAAAATAGTTAGACGAAGGTTTAACGAAGCAATCTTAAAGCCTAGACGCCCTAGATGTTCTTTTCACTTATGAGACAAGAATCCTATTATACTTCATCTAATTTACATACCGATGCACGTCATTATCTACGTCAGAGATCGAAGTTGACATAGTTGCCAAAGTATAAAAAAATCTTGACTCCATTTTAAATCAAATAGGTCACATAATTATTGCAAAAGTATTACCATCTCTTTACAATGACTATTTAAATTATTACGTGACATTTTTTAAATAAAAAACACTAATTTTGTTCTAAAAAGAACAGATTTTATTAAATAGGTAAAAATATAAAACAAGAGGTATTCACTTTAAAATTCAAAATATTAATGTACAAAAAGTGTCAACACCGCAACTGTCAAATAAGTGTTACCAATTTATGTCAAAATTTCACCTTCGTTCGATTACAGTTACAGTGTGTTCCGAACAAAAATGTTCTTCATTAAAACTCTTTATAATGCATTTATACAAATTAAATGAAAGATCTTATTGTGTCTTTTTTACGTCAACATTAATAGAATTTTTTAAATAATATTTCTACGCGTATATAATAAAATATGTCTAGTAGCTGTAATGCCAGTGTACTCGGCAAAGTGATTCTAAAAAAGAACACACCTACCGCATAAATATTTTGTGTGTATATACGCCAGATGGTGGAAACGACATCTACAAAGAGTTGGAGAACGATTCGCCACCTGCAATCTTGACCAGACCGTTAGTTTTGGAGGTAGTGGCATAATGCTTTGGGAAGGCATTAGTTGTGGAAGTGATTGGACGGATGACCGATGACGCTTACTTTCAAAATTATCTGCAAGATCAAAATGTTGGTTACGTTGGATATGACAGATTAATCTTTATGCACGATAATGCTCGACCACATGTCGCTGCCATAGTGAGTAATTATATCGATGAGGTCCAAATTCGAAGATTGGATTGGCTACCAATAATCCTAGATTTCGATTCAATGGAGCACATGTGGGATCTGCTAAAACGAGGCATACGACAAAGAAATCCCATTCCAAATACGATATAGCAGCTTCGGCTTATTGCACAGGATGAATGGAATGCAATTTTTCAAGGATATGTCCAAAATTTACTTGCAAGCATGCCGAGAAGGATACAAGCTGTAATAAGAGGTAGAGGGGAATACTCTTTACTGAACATGCACTTGTTTCAATTAAAAAGACTTATTTAACCAATTTAAGTTTGGAGTAAAAAAACCTTATTTACCTAGCATTAAGCATTTTTTCGCAGTTTTCTCTGTTTAGGAATTTGAGGACCAATATTGTTTTTATTGTTTCCAGACACTTCCCCAGGATTATTAGGTATCCCTCCGAGTCGGTCTAGTAGAGATGAGCCAATGGACGATAAGCCAGATAGGTCTACAACACCTGACAGGGTACACCATCTCTACGGTCATGGAGTGTGCAAATGGCCAGGTTGTGAAAACCCTTGTGAAAATTTAGACGCATTTATCAAGTAAGTATTTTTTAAATTTTATATTTAAACACTGTATAGTATTGTTTTTTTTTAATCAACTCAGTTGGCTGGCATTAACCGGTGAATATAGTAGTCCTCCTTTCAAGCAGGAAAGATGTATGTTCCCTTTAGGTGAAATCTTCGACCTCATGTTTATCAAATATAACCATGATTTTCAATGTTTCAAGGATTTTAAACCCATCTTGGGTAGCGGGTAGGAACTCTTTAAATTCTTAAAGATAGTCCTATCAGCGAAAATGAATCAATCCCTGCCCTCCGCAGATTCCGGGGTTTCCTGACCCGGGAAACCAGTACCTGGTTAGGGTCCCTTGTCCAGGGTTACGGATGAAGTCCACAACGGCAGACACGGCGGAGAAGCGGAGCTTCGGTACGGTGTGGATGGCGGAAATGGCAACCCTCGATTTTAGGGTTGATATAGAATCAAAACAGTAGCGTCTGATCCAGAATGGACGGCTGCGAACAGCGTCTGACCCAGAATGGGCGGCTGATATAAAACTCACCAACCCGTCTAGCCAGCGTGGTGTTTCAAGGCTACTCATCCTTCCAAATACAGAAATGGCGAATACTACAGAAACGGAACGATCCCCAGGTGGGTGGAGTATGTTATGCCAAATCCCACACCCAGAAAAGGGTCTGCCTCGTGGAATATGGGGGAGGCAAGAATTCGCTTAGTACACACAGAATGCACATCGGAACATATAATATCAGAACGATGAGGACAGAAGATAACCTAGAATAGTTGCAAGAAGAACTTAAGACCATCAAATGGGACATAGTAGGCCTATGCGAGACAAGGCTTAAAGGCGAAGAATCGACTCTACTAAAATCAGGGCACACTTTGTACCAATACAATTCAGGAAATAACCAAGGTATAGGAGGCGAAGGCTTTTTAGTACATAAGAGAATTGAAAACATGGTAACCAAATTCCAAGCAATTTCTAATAGAGTTATCTATATGGTAATAAAACTAAATCGTAGATACAGCATTCAAATAATCCACTGTTATGCACCAACTTCTTCTGCAGATGATGAAGAGGTAGAACAACTTTATGAAGACATTACAAGAGCCAGAAACCTAGAGAAAACATATTACGTAATAATTACGGGAGATTTCAACGCTAAAATAGGAAAGAACGAAAATAACAACGACAACGAATATATTGGAAATTTTGGACTGGGAAGTAGAAATCACAGGGGAGATATGCTCGTAAATTTCCTCAGCAAAGAAAAACTATTCTGCTTAAATACCTTCTACAAGAAAAAGATGCAGAGAAAATGGACGTGGTTAAGCCCAGATGGCAAAGTAAAAAATGAAATTGACTTTATACTCTCTAACTTCAAAAACATTGCTAAAGATCTTACTGTACTTAATTCTTTCAACACTGGTAATGATCATCGATTAGTTAGGACGCGAATAGAAATAAATACGAAATTAGATAGAAGAAAATTATTAACACAGGATAAATTGCCAAACATAGAAGCACTCGAAATGAATCAAGAGGAATATCAAAGTGAACTAAAAAAGAAACTAGGACCTCTACCAGTATTTAACACGAAAGATATAAATGAAATAACACAAAAATTAACGAACAACATAACATCAACTGCAAAAAAGATCTGTGATAAAAATAAAAATCCCAGAAAAACGAAACTGAAACAAACAACACTTAATTTAATGGAAGAAAGAAGAAGAACATCGAAAGAATTACCAGAGTATAAAGCTATCAACAATAAAGTTAAAAAGAGCATAAGGTCAGACTTGCGGGCTTATAAAACAAAACAAATATTGCAAACCATCGAAAACAATAGAAACATGAGAGTATTGAAATCAAATTTAACTAAAGGAAAATCAAATATAACTAAAATCAAAAATCAACAGGGGAATACGGTGACCGAAAAAACTCAAATAATCAAGGAAATACAAACGTTCTATAAGAATCTTTATACATCTACTATACAGAACCCCGAAACAGACCACAGAACAATTCTAAACGTCGGCTCGGAAACCCTCCCTAAAATAACCTCTTCGAAAATTAGACATGCCTTACAGCAAATGAAAAACAAAAAAGCTCCCGGCGAGGATCGTATAACGTCTGAAATGTTAAAAATGGGCGGCAACATCGTTGTAGAAGTTGTGGAAGTCTTACTGAATAAGTGTCTAACAGAAAAAAGAATACCCAGCCTATGGGAAAACGCCGAAATAATACTTTTACACAAGAAAGGAGACACTACTAATATTGAAAACTACAGACCTATAAGTTTGTTGTCACACTTATACAAATTGTTAACAAGAATAATAACCAACCGCATAACACAAAAACTTGATTTATATCAACCGGTTGAACAGGCGGGATTTAGAAAAGGGTTTGGCGCTAATGATCACTTACAAACCATCAGAACACTAGTAGAAAAAACCACAGAATATAATGTACCTTTACATATGGCATTTATCGACTTTCACAAGGCTTTCGATAGTATTGAGACTTGGTCCTTTTTGTCAGCCCTGAAGGATGCTCGAATAGACTGACGGTACACTACACTCATTAAAAACATTTATGAACAGGCCACATTCCACATCAAAATCAATGAAGACGAAAAAACTGAAAAAATGCGCTTTGATAAAGGTATTAGACAAGGTGATACTATTTCACCAAAGCTTTTTACCTTAGCATTGGAAAATGTATTCAAACAGCTTGACTGGGAGGAAAAAGGTCTAAACATTGATGGTGTACGTTTGAGTCATTTGAGGTTTGCGGATGACATAGTATTATTTAGCACAGATATCAAGGAACTGGAGCAAATGTTGAAGGAATTAAACCAGCAGTCAAATAAAATAGGTCTCAAAATGAACCTTCAGAAAACAAAAATAATGAGTAATTTACAAACTAATCTTGTTATTGACAACGTCAGTCTTGAAAATGTAGACCACTATATATATCTTGGACATACCATTAAAATCGGCAAAGAAAATCAAATAGCCGAAATAAAAAGACGCATACAACTGTCTTGGGGAGCTTTCGGCAAATTAAGCTTTATTTTGAAGAATAAAGATATACCAATGTGTCTAAAACGTTGAGTTTATGACAAATGTATCTTGCCTGTAACTACATATGGACTGGAGACCATGGCCTTCACAAAGAAAACCTTAGAGCAGCTCAGTATAACCCAAAGAGCAATGGAGAGGGCCATGCTAGTGATTAGTTTGAGAGACAGAATTCGAAATAACGTCATTCGTGAAAGAACAAAAATTACTGATGTCTCAGAACGTATTGCAAGGCTCAAGTGGCAATGGGTCGGACACGTTGCCCGAGATAATCCCGAAAAATGGACACAAAGATTAACAAACTGGAGACCAAGAGAGAACAGGCGAGGAGTAGGCAGACCGCAGAAGAGGTGGACAGACGATATCAAACAAGTTGCGGGCAAGCAGTGGATGAGAATTGCCAAAAGTAGAAATCGATGGAAGCAAATGGAAGAGGCCTATGTCCAGCAGTGGACGAACACAGGCTGAAGAAGAAGAAGAAGAAACCCATCTTCGTAGCTAATATCAACTAGTCTTAAAATGTTTCACTGATGATGGTTCGGACCGAAAATGTTTTAAAAATATTTGTAATCCTTTTGGATAAATTTTAAATATTTTAAATAAAATATACCAATATACACTAGACGTCTTTATGTATCTGTAAGTTTTTTTTTATATAAATTATTCTGTTTCACATTGAATATACAAAATGCATGTTTTCTTCGCTTCTTTCGTGAAAATATTTATTTGGAACAATGCTTCGATAATATTTCCGGGCAAAAGCCTTTATTTTTCTATTTTATTGAAAACAAATTCAAAACAAATAAAAAAAACAAAGTAATTATTGGTTTTTATTGCCAGCGTTCAAGACATAAACAGAAAAGTTTTGAGAAAATCTCGCTTAAGTTTGTCGCTTTTACACTGTTTCCAAATAGTTTCAGCGATAAATTGGAAATTTATAGGTTTACATAGATAGATGTTATGCTTTGTTTTGCTAACCTAACTGGATAAATCTATTACAGGGTATTGATTTATTATATCTGTATAAATTTAAATATAAAAACGACCAAAAAATACGATGTTTAAATCAGCTAATGGTCTTATGCATGACGTTCTACGAATAGTTAAATAGATTATCCTTTTCACATTAAACGTAACTAAACCACAATGATCTATGTTCTTTTTTTTTTTTTATTAAGTAAACCGCGTCAACCATGAAAGGTTATTGGCGGGAAAGAGTTGTACATGAAATTAGATATTTGCTTATAACTACCATTTACAATTGATAACTTAAGTCTATTTTTTATATTAGATTGTACAATTTAGTTAGTTTTAGAAACTTAGACACTTTATCATAGTTACTATAGTTCAGAGCACATTTCAGATCACTTGGTAAATCACTTTGAAGTCGTTCCAGGTGATAGAGTGGACAACTAACAATAATGTGTTCGATTGTCAGAGGAATATCACAAACATAGCACAGTTTTTGTTGTTCTTTCTTCATTAGGTACTGGTGGGTTAACCTGGTATGTCCTATTCTTAAGCGATGTTGTATGACTTGATCTCGTCGTTTTTGTGGCATTATCCCTTTTGGTGACAAATTTGGGTTGATGCGTTTTAGTTTGTTGTCGTCAAGTTTTTTCCATCTCTCGAGCCATCTTCTCATTGAAAATTCTTTGATGGGGTTTTTAATGTCGGAAAGAGGGATTTCTGGGAGCTCTTTATGTTGTTTATTCGTATAGCAGGCTTCTTTAGCTTCCAGATCAGCTTTTTCATTACCTATTATGCCTACATGAGATGGAATGCAAACAAATTCTACCCTTTTATTCTTACTGTAAAGTTCTTCGAGATCAATTTTAATTTGGCATAGTATTGGGTGGTTTGGGTAAACCCTTAATATTTCTTGTACTGCACTTAAAGAATCTGTGAAAATGACTGCTTCCAATTTGGGCTGGTT